TGGGACTTCTTGAAGTACCCTCGTGTATTAGAATGCTAGTACTACATCGTTTACTTCAGTCACTGTAGAGCTGCTACCGATCGCTTAGAGAGCTTGGTCGTTACCGACCTCAGTGACCATGATATTGACCATGTTATCGGTGTTGGTCGCTACTGTAACAGTTGTGTTTGAAGAGTTTGCGGTTGGTACTCCAATTGCAGTGTTCGCAGGAAGGCTATGCTGCGACATGCATCCTTGAGACTCTCGCGGATGCATGTCGCAGCGGTCAATAAGGAGGGGTCGTTCAATAAACCGATGATTTCGAAACTCGGAACACGCATAATACGATGCTAGAGTCGATCCTGAATTCCAGAATTGTTTTAATGGTAATGGGGAGAATTGCAGTCCTATATCAATTCTTCGATCCATTTTTTCATCAGCGATCACCCACTGTCTGTCGCCGGGTACGATGTAACATTACTCGACGCGAAAGTAACAGGCGTACTTAACCCAAGGTGCAAGAGACTCAATTCGTAGAAGCCATCTCATAAGGTGTCACAATTGTCTGTTCAACCGCTTGGATCGCTCCGAAGATAGTGTCCTGGTCGATACCGTACGTATTGAAGTGATGCATGAAGGCTCTGCCAAGAAAGACAGTACTGCAGTCGATTGCGAGTAGTCGCCGCGGCACTTACCCATGCCGAGCCTTCTCGGTAGCATTTTCTAGGAGCTCGTTGACCATCCTCGCGGTATACGTCCAATTCACAGCCAAACTTATCCCGTGATTGTCTGTCTTTGAGCGGGGGAGACGCCGTCTAAGTGGAGCAAATCACAAATGATCCACCCGTCAAGTGCATAATGAGCTGGCTTAGAGACGGTCACTAGTTAGAAGTTCCTCAACGCAGAGATCTACTCACCTCAAGTCGACGTTATAGGGCCCATTCCAAGACACCCTTCCTCCCAAGCATGAAATGATCTTCTCAGTTACAGACGATTCTGCAGCTGAACTCACCACAGCTCTTGCTGCTATGAGTGAATTTGGCAGACGCGCTGCAGGGAGGTGCATGCGCAGGCTCTCTAGATTCTTCGAAGAGTAAACATGTGCGAACTTGAGGGTTGGCATTGGGCAAACGACGCATTGGAAATCGTCGAGACCAAGACCACTCCTGCTCTGCAGCGTGTCCAAGATCGCCGTAGCAATCCTGCTATTGAGTTCCTTCACAGAGGAAGCCTTGAAGCTGCTGTTCTCCACGAAGATTCCGAAGTCACAAACCTCTTCTATCCGTTGCAAAGCGAGAACTTCGTTGATGGACTGAAAGCAAGCCATGATAGATTGACCTCCGAATTGGTCCCATCTCGAACCCGCATTGGACTCCCTCCAAGGGGATCAGCTACGATAGAGAGGGCAGTGAGTAAACCATGCCTTCCTAGCTGCTCTCGGGCCATCTCCATCACTCTACTGCCAAGGCCGCCTCCCGTTCCTCCTGCTAGCGAATGTACGATAACAACATCCAAGCTACGATCGTTGTACCTGCGAATGTATGACACTTGAGCTGTCAATTATGTTCTCTACTCGATCTCGCGTCGCAAGGTGTCCTCAATCTGCTCCAGGAACTCCGGGTCGTTATCGACGTATCCTGAAGAGCGTTTTATGATCAGCCTCATGTCGCTGTTAATGATTGTCAGTAGATTGTGTAACATCTCAAAGCATCATTGAAGTGACGTGAATTCCTCGCACTGTTACCCATAGCCCAGCTCCCTCCTCTCCCCCTTGCTGTAGTGTCTGCGATACAGAGTTGATCTCTGAAGAATAGTCCTTGTCTAGATCTGGCTTCGCACCGCATTGTTCTCATCGGTTTTGGCTCCGTATCGACGAGGATTGCCCCTACACTGGCAATTCAATGAAGCTCCGAGTCAGAAAGCGTACTGGGTGTTGGAGGCTCCTCGTCATAGTACAGCATGTCATGTAGTGGAGCGAGCTTACTCCACATCGCCCCACCAACTTGTATCCCGCATTGGCCAACGTGGACGATGAGGGAATCGTCGATGTTCGGCATGGTACAGCCTATTCCAGGGAGGCGAAGCGACGCACACACCGTTATTGACAACAACAACAATTCATAAGGCGGAGGTCAGTAATCAAGAGATGAAAAGAAAGCGATCATCTCCACCGAAACGTGGTAGCCACATGCTCGAGAGCCTACACCAGCCCTAGGTCGGGAGAAGGGTTTAAGTTTAACTGTCACTATTTCATCACATGACTATGTTCTGTGCGTACAACGTATCGCGCGGCCTTACTCTCGTACCGTCCTCGATTCTCGGGCTCTGGAAATTACACACATCGTATCGCACCGTATGAGATACGGTTCGCCCATCTCGAACTGGTTCCCATCAACCTCCAGTAGCATCGCATTCACAGCAAGCGTTCATGACCCACCTGTATCCAAGGAAAAGTTACCATGACCGGTGTATCAGGAATGCATCAATACCTGCGGTGACGACGTCATCGATCGCCTTAACCCCGAATCCGACTCGCAATTCAATGGGATACATAGTTTTCGCTTGAGAGAGCAAAAGTCAGTTAACGTATGGGAACCGTTGTCGAGGTCATAAAGGTCTTCCCGAGTCACGAATCCTGACCAGGAATGAATGTACGACAGCACATTCCAACAACTTCGGCCGGACAGCCGAGTCGAAGGCTAATCGGGTCAACAGACACCATCGTTATGGGACGATGTAGGTTTTTGTAAAGAGTTATGATATGAGACCCGCAACTAATAGAACACAACAGAATAACAGTAGAAGCAGAAAGAATCCGAATCAGTTTAGACAAGGTGGATCTGCACTTGGGTATAGGAACGAGTTTATTGTCGTAAGGACAGCTATAAAAGGATCTCAACAGCCAACCGAGCCGCCAACCTGAGCACAATGCCAATGAAACCAATGCTATTCAGCCTTCTAGGCTTCATTCGATATCGATATACTCATTGGCGCTGTCTTGATGTGATGGCAAGAATAAAGTGGTACAGCGATTAACTGATAGCTGCAAAATGAGCCAGGGGGACATTACATCGGAGGGACGAGAGCACCCGTTAAGGAACAACGACGCCTCCGGTACATCCGAGAACGGAATTATCACTGTAAATAGAGAATCACACATCACCATCAAAAACACTCAATGACTACTGAAGCCGACGGTCTTACCAGCACGGCACGACCTCTCCATGCATACAAACAGAGAAAGTGGCATATCATCGAGTGTCAGCAACAGGAGACAACTGAGCATCGCTCGGCAACTAGAATAGTAATGACCGTAGAAACTATCGAGACCCTTCGTTTACTTGGTATTATATAGTAGTTAAGGACACTATTGTTATCATCTTCCTCCACCTCTCCAGAGGCAAGAACAGCGACAAATAGTATTGTGGGTAGTACAGAGAGGATACGACTAAAGACTGAACGTAGTAAGATTACTGAAGAACAACACTCAAGCACTCCGAGACCAGAGTGAATGAACTTAACAGAGACCCGAACAACCGGCGGGTCTCATATAGATTCCCTTAGACCTCGCACACGCTTATATAGCTACTGTAAGGCACTGTTGGTAAAGATGACAATGAAGTTGCGAACTTGGCAGCCAACAGCCAGAGTGTTTAAGTGTAGTTGAACCGACTCTTTGCAAAAAGCTTAAAACACTTGGTACAAAGAGACCGGTACACTGACATGATAGTGACCGCACCATAAGTAGTACAATCAAGCCTTGGAGAGGTAAGAGGAGGAGGATGATGAGGAGGAGGCTAGTGAGCAGCACTCATACAATAAGGGAGAACAACAAAGGTACAGAAAGTAACAACAGGAACGAAGGAATATGAGAGCGATTCGACGCCTCCCTTGCACTACTGCTACAACTGTAACCTCAGTACCTTCATATAATAGTGGCTTTCAGTCATCAAAGTTGGCCGTCCGAGGTCACGCCACACGCGACGACGCTGGCACTATGACATCAACCAGTAGCAGAGACTAAAATCGGGTACTTCTCAACAATAGTCTTTATGCGATTATACCGCATATCAATACATATAGGGTTAGTGACGATAACGAACAGGAGCATACACAAGTGTATACCACAGTAAACCGACGCTGCACTAGCACTGGTTACTGATGGGTAAACGACAGCATGCCTGCTCGAGACAATGAGAAATGATGAAATACAACAATAATGATGATGATACCACAACTCTAGCAGAATGATCATACGAATACTCGATCGGGCTAGCAGCACCTAATGATGAGAGCCGCATAGCACTGAAGATCATTCTACGGTTTCTGTAGCAGAGTAATGGATGCTACATAATGAGGATTCACAGTGAGACACCTACATCGTCTCCTGATTAGTAGCACTTCCCAACAAGCTATCACTAGCCTTCTGCGAAGTACCATATACAGCAGTAGAGGGGTAGTAGGAAGCACTCTCAGAGCCAGCGAGAGGGAAGTCAGGCCAATTGCCAGGAAGAAGGGATGCATCAGTAGTATTGGAACCGTAAGGGGTGTAGCTATTCGGCATAGTCCCTGAGTGGGACTCAGAGAACGCTGACTGCTGGTCGTTAACTGCAAGTAGAGTCTGAGGGAAAATGACGATACGTGTAATGTCACTCGAGTTCTCTTACCTCCAGCGCCTTCAGCAAACTAGGGTCGGTTAAGTCAGGCTGTTGGTTGTTGACCTGGCCGTTACCACCGTCGAGCGTAACAGTAGGGGAAGCCTGCTGTTGACCCTGGACTGATCGAGTCTCTGAGTACGGCGACGAGGCCATGGACAGTAGAGAAGACGTCGGAGACATTGTGGATGGCAGATTGTTAAGCAGTATGTCACTCGAGGTACTCAATAGAGGGCTCGAGTGACTCGTCGGGGCATGAGCAGGAAGGCCACTGGGAACAGACTGCATCAGCGATGGGACCGACCATGAAGGAATAGCCATAGAATCAGCAGCAGCAGGAAGAGAGGACGACACCGGACTGGCAAGACGGTTACTATTGTTGTTACGTTGGAGGCTTGCCGCCGGTACACCATTCATCTGAGGAGCACAAAATCGATGAGAAATGTAACTATCATATCTCTCACCTGCTGTTGTTGTTGTGTGTGCTGATTCTGACCAAGCCGACCTTGACGTGAGAGTTCAAGGGCTCCAGCCAGAATTGACTCTTGAGCCTGGGTCTTGTTATGAGAGAGCTTGCAATTAGGATCATTACAGCTCCCATCGAGAGCACCCAAACACACTTGTGGGCTGCTGTTGCCAAAAGGGGACCTCAGCTCTTCAGGCGAATGAGCATACTGGCAATTGGCGTCCTTGCAGTTACGACGAGCACACATCTTAGTCTTGTAGAAGTCTGGACGAGCACCAAGTTCGCTCAGCTGATGGGCAAACGTACAGCGACTTCCATACCTGAACGGGAGTAACACCATGAACACTCAGTGACTTGGTCTACGACAACTACCTGCAACTTCCACGCATATAATGGCGACAAACTTTAGTCTTGTAAAGTTGCACCTTCATATTGTTAATTTCACCACCGCTGTTGTTACTGCTACTAGGGGAACCCACAGTAGATGGGAGACGTTCATCACCGTTGTTTTGGGGCTTCCTCGCTACCGGACTCCTGCTCTTACCGTTGGCACCACGCCTAGGCCTTGGGGAAGAAGCAGCAGAACTGTGGGCAGACCGAGTACTACTACTGCCAGTAGGGGATGTGGAGGTCGTAGACTCACGAGACGTGATGTTGATAGACTTATTAGAAGTTGGCGAAGTCATACTTGTTTGTAATTAGGAATTGTCGATTTTAGAGGAATGACAGTATTTTGTCAGAAGAATAGAGAGAATGTTGCAAAGCAAAGATAATTAGCAACTGAGAGGGAAGTCATAAGGAATATCTACGACCAGGAAGACCAATGTGAGGATACCCTCAACATCAGCTACGGGACACAAGATCGAACACAAGAGCGGACACACAAACGGATTGGAGATGCCAACTGGTGAAACTATCTACTGGAGCACTAGAACACACTTCAATGCACGGTGTATGAGTAGAGTAGCTCTTTGGTGGACATGTGCATCTCAATCACACAAAAGAAGCTTAGAAAGCAATCATACACGGGGAATGGGTGTCCCTTTCCTTCAGCCCTCCTTCCTTTTGGCTGAGTGGTATGACGCGCGGTTGGTGTCCCGCCGACCCAGGTTCAACACCCAGTCCAACCACCTCGAAATGAATCGCCTCGTTGCCTCGTCACGTGTTGCCCCAACATTCTTCCCGTTTCTTTAGTTCATAATTTAGATATCTCCACAAGTGGTGGTGGTATATGGCGTTTTCTCTTATGCATCTGATAGAATCCGGTCTGTTGGTGACCAATGCCGGGGCCATCCTCAGCGAACGGAGAGTTCTCCACAAATGTAATATTGGTAATCGTCTACACGACAATACATAAGGGAAATCCAGATCTCCCTGGGTGGGGAATCTCCACTGAGGATCGTAGGTTCTAATACCAGTCAAAGACAAAGTGTGTGCGAGGTACGGCTTGTAGAGCTTATGAAGCTCATGTTATTGAAAATTGCATGTAAAGCCTAACGCTTGAGCGCACCAAATTGAAGACGCTGAGAAACCTGGATTGAGTTCGACGGTCGACCTGTATGGTAGGCTCCGATCCCGGCAGTCGGCTCTGGGAGAGCCTCCGCTGCGGGGGCTCGTCGCTACTACGCGTGTCAAGGCTTGAGCACGATAGGCTGAAGTATTTTGCAGTACTTGCATGAATGATAGGCACACGTCGCAGGTCAACTACCACCAAGCACTGCATGCAATGTGACCAGTATAGAGGTGGAGGTGTAGGAAACGAGCTTTAACTATCTGCCTCATTCCGGAGCAGCTGGCAGCTCTAATGCAAAAGATGCCGCGCCACAGCATTAGATCACTGGTGCCATACATGCTACGCACTAAAATGTTAGTACTTGTTGATGTTAATCACAGTACGCAACGAACAAGGAGTAATAAACACACGATATGAACCATATCATATGGTGCGCCTACTAATATGTAGAAAATGCAAGTGCACGTAAGTAAGCAAGATT